CTCATTAGGTGGCCAAAGTATTTGAGTTTCATCTTCAGGATCTGGCCTTCTAAAGAGCAGTCAGGGTTGATCTCCCCTGGGACTGACTGGTTTGATCACCTTGTGGTCCAAGGGACTCGCAGGAGTCTCCTCCAGCACCACAATTCAAAGGCCACAGTCCTTCGGTGCTCAGCCTTCCTTATGGTCCAACTTTCACAGCCATACATTGCAACTGGGAAAACCATAGCCTTGACTATACGCACTTTTGTTGTTGTTGTTCTTTACATCTCTATATTTGCTTATTTGTAGTATGAGTTTAGAGTAACACCATACATAGTGTTCATTGTTGTATTATTATTACTGCCAAACTTCTGAAGCCAGAAGGACAACCATAGCACAAGAGAAGCGAGCGCTCCGTAAAGTCAGAGTTGCAAATGTTGCAACAGTGGTGCCCACACATGTCTGCCTGACATGTGGCAGAACACTCCGTGCCCGTATCGGCCTTATCAGCCACCTGCGGACACACCGTGGACAACTCACATCCCATTAGATGTCAAGGTCCTCATCGAAAATGATGGACGGACATGAGATTATTACTGTTACTGTACTGCCCTTAGATCCTGCATTTTTCCTCTTCTGAAGAACCCAAGGTGGCTTACAGAGTCCCATTTTACCCTCACAACAACAACCCTGTGAGGTGGATTGGGCCGAGAGTCTGTGACTGGCCCAAGGTTACCCAGTTGGCTCCATGGCCAAGTGGGGACTAGAACCCGAATCTTCCAGGTCTCCAGTCCAGCACTCCAACCACTGCACCATACTGGCTCTCATTTAAAAACGAGTATACTAAATTGGGGCATTTTAGTCAATTACAAATTGAACTGGCTGGCCATTTATGCATCATTTTTTAAAAAGCACATACAGCCCCCCTGCAAAAAGATGGAGATTTGCTAATTTATATGAATAGATTTGTTTTTAAAGAAAGAATTAATAAAAGTTAAACAGAAATACACTACATCTCACTACCATGGGAAAGGACAGGACCAGGTGCCCTGCACAGCTATTCAGTCTGCTCATCAGGTGCTAACTGCTGATGGGCATCTTCAAGGCCTCGGGGCTCTTTCTTCTTTGGTTCTTCATCTTGGAATAGACAACCTTCCAAATACAGAAAGATGCCTTGAAATAGGTGACCTCCTCTAATGTGGAAACATTTGTGCAACAATACTAGAGTATTGGTGATTATCAGATGCTGATAATTAAAAATTAAAAAAACAAGAAAAGTGTGAGTTCACCCACTTTCCTGGCACTGCCTATTTTATAGACCTAAGAAAATCAGTTGAAAGGAAGGCTTTCAGAAGGGAATTTTTGCAGCTTATATTACAAAAAAACAATAGAGCCCTGATATGTTGACTCTATGCTATGGGGACCGGGCGTTCTGCTTCTGGACTTGCATGCAGCAAGTATCACGCCGCACATTAAATTGTTCTGTCTTCACTTGAACAATCTGTTGCACTTTTATTGTACAGAATACTGCATCTAGGAAGAGATTGCCATACCTGTTTGCTTTATTGATTATAACGCTGCAAGAATTTCAAAACCCCTCCTTTTTCTTCTTTCCAGTTTTTACACACGGAAAGGATTACGTGCTTGCGCAAACCCTAAAGACCGTTGGGTGAAGAAGCAGCTCCACTGGCTGGGGTAGGTAGAAAGGATATGTTTCCTTGACAAAGCTAAAATACTTTGGACTTCTTACAGGAACTGCCTATTATACAGTAGCTCTGATCAAAGAGTATTGTTTGGCTACACTTTGGAAATCTAACATTTTTTCTTCACTTCCCCAGTCTGGAAATGAACATTTTGTTCTTCACTTCCCCAGTTTGGTTGGGCAGGGCTAAGTCTTCTTGGGTGGGATAGAATTTCCTATCCTTATTCATAATTCAGGAGCTATACAGCACAAGAGGAAATTCAAGCTTATGTTTATTTTTCTATTTTTATTACAGTGAAAAGCTCAAGAAGTTGTCACACTTAAACTATATTTGAAATGAAGCTAGAAGCCAGGACAAAGCCAGAATAAAGAACCTAACATAGGTTGGAATTGTGTCTCTACATGCGTTTGAGTGCTTGGTGTCTTTGAACCCCTGGATTCTCTGGAACCTCAAAAACGTGTTGCATCAAATACTTGCTTGAATGAAGCATCCCATATAAGTTGCTCTCTTCATTTCTATCAGTTCACATGTTGTGACTGATAAATATTAAATTGTATTGTAAATAATATTTACCTAACTGGTTATAGGGCACATTCTGTCTGTCAGAGGAAGCGTCCTGTAATGTGCATCACCAGCTACCACCACTATTGCTGCAACAGTGGATAGCCTTTTTTAAAAGTTCATATATTAAGTATAGTTATACCCTACACTTTCCTGCAAGGAGCTGAAGACAGTTTACACAATCCTTCTTCCCATTTTATGCTCACAACAACCCTGCATTGTAGGTTAGAATGTGAGTTAAAGTTATCCAGCGAGCTTCATGGCTAAGTGGAAAGTATAACCTGGAACTTCCCAGTCCTAATCTATCTCTCTAACCACTATGACATGTTGGCTTACCATTTTGAGCATTATGATGTCTGGTTTGTGGCCTTCAGGTGAATGAAATTTCTTTATTTGGTGACTGCTCACCAAACATTTCCAAGTAATATTGTCCATAATTACTCTATCCATATAAACTGAAATGTATATGCTACAATATTTTGAGTAATTTGACAAAAATGAGAACACAAACAAATAAATGTAAATTGTACAATGACTTTGTTTATGCTGTTTTTTGGCCTTACATATTCAGACATTTAGCTTTAAAAACATTTCTACACTTATGGAGGGAAACAGTCAAAATCTCTCTTAATACCTGTTACAAGCTGGACATTAGGAAAAGCTTTCTCACTGTCAGAGCAATACAACAGTGGAACCAGCTGCCTTAAGAGATGGTGGGCTCTCCCTCACTGGAGACATTCAAAAAGAAACTGGACAGCCATCTGAGTGGGATGGTGTAACCTGGTGTCTGCAACAGCAGGGGGTTGGACCTGATGGCCTTCATGGCCCCTTCCAACTCTTCTATTCTATGATTAACTTGGCCAGGAAAGGCCAGTCCAGATAAAGGTATTATACCTAGGGAAATATAATATCAGAAGTGGATATTTTGTATTAAAACATACAGAAGCAATTTAAACATACAGTATATGAGGGTGTGTGAAAATGCATAATGAGATATCTAGTGCATATTGCTACATAAACTAGTAAAATGTCAGCTTCTCCCAGGCACACATGTTGTGTCCCCTTACTCATTCTGACTTCTCTATTGTCCATCTTCATCCATCTATTGCTAAAGCCCCAGCTAGACTTCCTTTGCACACATCCAAGCCATTCTCACATCCATGCCTGCAAACATATTTTGTCCAACCAAGATGGTCAGGTTTCCTTTCTTAAATATTAAGAATCCCTACTTTAAGCTGCTGTGATCTGAGCTAGCAGCAGCTGACCAAGAAAGAGATCTTAGAGTTGTGATGCATAGCTGTTTTGTTAACCCAGCATGCAGCTACCGTCAAAAAAGCAAACTCCCTGTTAGGGATAATTGGGACAGAAATGGAAAATAAAACTGCCAATATTGTATTGTCCTTATACAAGTCTATGGTGCAACTGTACTTAGAATTCTGTGTACAGTTCTGCTCACCACACTTAAAATAACCCACTACAGCCATTGTCTTTATTGTATTTCCAGATTCTGGCAGAGCTGCCCAACTTCTTAACAAGCCTCTGTGTTGTTCAGTGTATGTGAAACATCACATTTTATTGATTCAGCCTCTGTTTTAAATTAATAGAAATTAAGGAAGAGAGGACAACTTGTCATTGATTCGACTGTACGGAGCAGTTCAGCCCCTTTTTTTGTTCCTCTACTATAGCGCAAAAGACTTTTATAAACAGCTATTGTAGCCTTAAGCGTTTGTATGAATCAATTAATTCCTCTGTAGGAACTGCTGAAGCATTTAGCACTGATGCCAAGAAACAGTGTAGATAATTGCACCAAGAACTACTATTAGCCCATAAATTATATCTAATCGGCAATACTGAAAATGGTAATTGTCTTCCTATAATTGGAACTAAAGTTTAAATTCCACTGCCTTCCCAAACGATCCACACAAAAGACCTTCTATTTGCAAAATTGGATTCTCCCTTAAAATTAATCTAGTGTGAGAATATAGATTACACTGCAACTAACACAAGACTTTTCATTCCAAGTCTCTCACTGCTAAGATTGTTAGTAGAGATTGTTACTATACTTGGATCCTAATGCCATCCAACGAAAAAGAGGGACCAAACACTTCGAAACAACCCTTGGGGGAGTATTAAATGAAAAGATTGTTTTCAAATCACTCATGCAGGTCAATAAATAAGCTTCATAATACAAACTAGGAGCATAATCATAATGTCACTGTTCTCACAGTAGATATCACTGTCTGAGCCACTGTTCCTCTTCCCTGAACGTGTACATACAGAACACTGTTAAATTACAGAATTTGCTCTACCTTGACTTTTTTTTTTATTTTAGTTCTCAATGTACCACAAAATGACCTGCTTGACAAACAGTAAGGTCACAGCAGAGTTTTAGAGGAAGAAGTTTTACAACTGCCAGCCTCCATAACTTTGATTACTTTAGAATCATCAAGTTCTTTTTCCTCCCAGTCTAACATTGGAGTTCAAGGTTTTTTAAAATATGTACTTGAAACATGACAAATGGGAAAGAAAAGCCTTGAAAAGCTACTATTACTCACTTCAAATAGCGTGAAGTTAAGCAAACTGATATGACCATTGAATGTATTTCTATTTTGTCCTCCCTCAGCCAAATAGTTAAGAGTGTTCAAAGTATAGTCAACCATATACTTTTGTATATATAGAATTCTGCTGTGATTCTGGTCTCACCTTGGAATAAGATGATCCAGGCTATTGATAAGATTGCTCCTAAAATATTTAGTTGAAATCCCATTTCTTCTCATTTAAATCTTTGGATTCAGTTCCTCTCATGCACAGCAGGCAATTTAAGATCATCAGAACCGAGAGGACTTGGGAGTTGCATTGCTCCTGGAAGCCTGGGGGGGCTGCACCTGCCCCACCACCAGCAGTGGTTGTCAGTAAAATCCCAGCAATTCCATCAGGACACAAAGAATAGCTGCATCATGCACCTTGTTTTCCAGCAGAGTCACACTCCCGACAGCTCACCAAACAGCAGTGAGCTGCACATCTTGCTTCACTGGGATTTTGGGGATGTGAGTTGCAACAACAGTGATGGCAGGTATTGGGTGGGAGTTTCACAAATGGCCATGACATGTTGCCCACCCCTGCTCTAGAACAACAGAAAACAGATAAACAGATATCCAATTATCTATGTAATTGTCCTTCAAGTATTTGAAGGTGGCTACTATATCACCCATTCATTGTCTTTCTTCCATCTGGGACTCCTTCAACCTTTCCTAATAGGACTTGGTATCTCCTAGACAAGTTACTATATATTAAGCCAGAGCTTAATAGAAGTCTGGCTTCAACAAAGCCTGTCTCAGACTAGCTGTTATGAACTCCATAGGCCCAAGATCGGATGAGCTGAACATAAGCTAACGCACTTGAAGAGTCAGCTGTACTGCTTCCTGTTTCTGAATACTAGATTATAGATTTATGTGCAGGCCTAAGGGCTTAATTCATGTTCTGTCTAATAGACCATGGGGAATTTGGTGGAAAACAGAAATTGATTTGCTTGCAAAAAGGATTTAAATGAGCAGTAATGTCTGAAATTGGGGAAAGGTAATGTTTGAATGAATGCATGACCCTGGCTTGCTGGAGGGTGACTGCAGCTCCATGGCTCTGCATTTATCTTTCTGGGCACAATCCTACAGGGATGCTCATAACTCTCCAAAACTTGGAGGTTTAGATAGATGATTTTCACGAAGTGCAGATCATCACTTCTGCTATGGAGTCAGAAGGAAGGAAGGAAGGAAGGAAGGAAGGGTAGGCACCACAAGGATGCTTTGTATTTTGGCAGCTCCAGTCTCTTTCTCTCCCCAGCTCCTCAAGCTCTTCCCAAATATCAATCTTAGAGAAGCAGGCAGTGCAGTCCTTTCCATGCCAGCTGTGCAAGAGGCTCTCCCTATGTTCATGTGGACCCATGTGGATTCCTAGTAATGAGTTCAGAGCGATTCTCCCACCTCACAGGGTTGCTCTGTATATGCATTAGCAAATTAGTCAAAACCAAGTTCTCTTCATTGGAAATTCTGTTTTGAAGCTGAACTGTTCCCCCACTTCACCATTGCCAAAGATGAATTCCTAAACACAAAGTAGACAAACAAACCCATTGAAAAGGCAAGAACTCTTATCCCCCAAAGTATTTTAGAAACCCTATGCTACTCTATCTTATTTCCTTTCTTTGAAACATGAAAGTTTTATCTTCAAAGGATAAACAGTAGGGAGTCATAAGAATGCTTTGAAAATGTACTGGATTATTAAACTCTGACCTGTACCATATTTGTGTTGACCTATAATGTTACTTTTTCATTGAAAATGGATTCTTCAAATGGAGTCTTTTACTTGGCTTTTTTTTTCTCCTGCAAGGTTTTTCCCCATAGAAAACTCACTCTGTTCATACAGTCAATAGGAATCATTCTTTGAAGGATCATTGGTCATTAGTGAGGTTTATTTTGGTATCAGAATGAATATTAATTACAGCTGAAGCAAAGATTCTAAGATCACTAGTCTTTGGTAACAATTTTCCTTTAATTATTTTCGCACAGACTTTCTAGTCTGCTTCAAAGTTTTAGACCAATGTTAGACCAATTCCCCTTTAGATTGATATTTTCTTTATGTCATAACTATACTGTTTTGTCCTTCATAAACTAACCACACAGCAACTTCAGAAAGTACTTCTCATTAACTTCGTGATATTGAGTTTCTTCTGTCGCTATTTCACTTGCACCACCACTGTTTATACTTCAGTTTGTTGGCTCAAGGAAAGGTTGGGATTACAGAAACATAAGAAAATGCCTTTGTGGTCCTTCGTATCTGCACAAAGGGGATCACTGCTTTTCCCCCTTGGTCCTCTAATCTGCAGAAAGGAAAACTTGTAATTTTTCCCCTTCAGTCCTTTGTAACTTCACACATTTGCAGGACAGTGTACTAGTATGACAGCAGCTAGTACAGCACCCAACAACATCAATATACCCCCCACATTTCCAGAAATGTTCAAACACCACCTGCCAAATGCCTCCTTCACTTTGGTGCTTGCCTTGACAGTGAACTCCAAAAAGGACAGCTGATTGAAACAGGAGCTTTGCTGTGGATGTAATTACTGCAAAAGTATGTGGAGCTTATTTATGCTCTGCCAATTTAAAAGTCAGCAAAGCTTGTGAATACAGCAGGAAAGCATGTATGTCCTGTGAATGTGCAACTTGTGCAAGGCCAAATGAAATGAAATGAGGCCATTTGTGTATTTTTTAAGGACCAATAAATATATAACACAATCAAAATGTTTCCAAGTATCAGTGCACTATCCACACATTGTTAGCAGCAAAAGAGGGAAGAATGTGGGGAGCAGTCAGTAGGGTTTTTCGTTATTCTTGATGGGCAGCTCTCTTTTACAACAGCTTAGGCCAGCGGTCGGCAACCCGTGGCTCTGGAGCCGCACATGACTTTTGAACTCCTCTGCTGCGGCTCCGTCGCTCAAACCACACGCCGGCACAGCTCAAAGCTC